GAAAGAAAACAATCTTAATGAACTTGTAATGACGTCATCGTACATATTTTTCGAGTCAATTCAATCTGATTTGAATATTTATTTTTATAACGTGTGCTTAAATTACATTAGGTAACATTCTTTTTTTTTGTATATGTTAAACATCTACGCATTTATATTTTAAGTTACCTATTATTCTACTGTTTTAACTTATATTTTTTTACTAGCTGTTGCCCGTGACTTCGTCCGCGTAGAATAACGACTGTTGGTAGAATTTACGCTTTTGAATTAGTCTTTATTAAGGGATATTCTACGGTAACGAATGTCGTCACTCCTCCCCCGTAGATGATAGTGTAATAATATGTAGTCTATATGTTGACCCGACCTGTAAGTAATATTCAGGCAAAATTTGAAGTATATCCATGCAGTACTTTTTGAGATCATCCCGGACATACATACAGACAAACAGACAAAAATTCCAAAAACCATATATTTGGCTTAGGTATCGATAGTAAATCACGCCCCACGTATTCTTTTAATAAAATATTAAATGTACAGTTTTGACTTTTCTACGATTTTATTATATGTATATAGAGGTAGATTAAACAAGTACCTAACGTACTTACACACTTACACCCTAGGGAGCCATACATGATTGTGAACTTTTTGTTGTATCCTTCTTTAGAATTGCCCCAAGTTTGAATTGAAAAGTAGGTGACTAATTATTCATTAAAATGTCATTATACAGACCCAAGGGCGTTGAAAAAAGGCGTACGTTATGTCACTTAGAAATGACTGAAGCACCAAAATGTCAGTGATGTATCTATGTGTGCGTGTACTTGCAACACCGTAATGCATGAAGGTCACGCGACAGATGTTCTTCGTGTCAATGTATGTGTATTCTGTGTGTAAGTCTATAGTAGCCAAGTGCCACAGTCATTGTTTTAAGAGACTGTGTCTGCCTATTTTAACGTCCTAGGTAAATACCTATATCTCTTGAACCTCTTTATTAAACTCAGCCACGCGCTTTAAAGAGCCATCAGACCAGATAGGGCCCAATAGGGCTGATGCCGATACAGAGCCGCGGAGCACTTAACGGGTTACCGGGGCTCCGGCTCGAAGTGCAGGAGTTGGAACGGGGTGTTGTTTTTAGTCAGTAAGAGTCTGACACTCGCTTCCGCTTCACCCAGGCGGGAGAAGTCATTTGATGATTGTCCCCCCTAAAATAACCTCTTCCGGCGTGGTGTTGCGAATGTCCATGGGTGCCGCTAGTCTCTAACCTTCAGGTGATCCGTCTGCTTGTTTACCCTCTATTCCATTAAAGGTGGTTGCAAACTCGTCTGCTGCATTCGAGAAAATTTAAAATGTTTCTCTTGTAGCTTATTTTAATGACTGCAGTACGTTTCATGAATATTGATAACTTCGCTCCTATTTATATTTTGCACTTATATTAAAAAGGCCACTTAAAATTAAAACGTGTTATCACTCCGGTCGAGTTGTTCCATTTGCCGAACCATAACTCTCGGTGCCTGACGTATGTGTGTTTATTAAATTAAAGATTTTTTTTTGAATTTATACCACCATCCCCAATCTCCCCAATCCCTGAATACCAACAATCCTCAAATTCCTAATCCCCTAAAGGCGGGTAACGCACTTGTAATGCCTCTGGTGTTGCAGGTGTCCATGGGCGACGCCGATTGCTTATCATCAGGTGATCCGTCATCATAAAAAAAGGAAATAACGGTATTATTTATCAGAGTAGTCAAAGACACTTGTCACGGTTGTGTAGTGTCTGGGCATCTGACTGCTACACATACATTATATGGTTGGGTTTATTTCCGTACGAAACCATTCTTCGTGTAATCCACAAGTGTTCCGCTCCGGGTTTGGGTGTGATGTGTATGTGAAAATCGTAATTTGGAGCCATTTTTTGTTACAAAACAGTTTTATAGTTTGACTGCACGGTTGGTGCGGTGGCTGGGCAACCGGCTGCCGTGCAACGTGTCGCGGGTTAGATTTCCGTACGGAACAACACTTTGTGTGATCCACAGATTGTTGTTCCGGGTCTGGGTGTCATGTGTACGTGGACTTGTATGTATGTAAACGCACCCACGACACAGGAGAAAATCCTAATGTGAAGCAACGTTTATTAAAAAAAAATCTTTTTACAGTTAAACAATTTATATTTCTTCCCTCTCCATGATGGAATGTAGACACCTGATACTTATTTACACAAAGATTACTCTCGACCTTCTACTGACGTTGTTTTGCTAAATATTTGCCACGTTTTTATTGTTTTTCTTCCAATAGTCCTTGTGTTTATTGGAATGTTTTGAGGCCCATTCTATCAAGGACAAGTTATCTTTAAACTTGAACGGTATCAAGTTACGGTTGTGCTGTTATTTGATTTTAGTTTTCATTATTTATATGATTGTTTTAGTTTTATTAAATGAGGTTGCTTTTAAACAACCCTTTTTTTAAGTAAGTACACGAATGCATCATCATCAACAGCCTATAAATGCCCACTGCTGAGCAAAGCCTCTTTTCACACGGAGAAGGTTAGAGCATTAATCACCACGCTTGCTCAATGCGGGTTGGCGATTTCAAACTTTGTTGAGGCACCTGTCTCAACATTGCCGGGCGCGCCCGCGCGCCAGCGGCAGTGAACGAGGGACGCGGGGGGGTGCGGCTCGCCGGCCGGTCTACAGCCGAGCCCGCGCCCCGCGTCGCGCGAGTCAGCAGCGGTTGCACGCCTAGACGCACGGCTGCCCTTACGCCTTTTTATTACTTGTTGCCATATTTCGTATTATTTCTTGTTCCATCTTGTTATTCCGTCAATATTTAATTTCATTACATTTTATATACAGTCCACTCGCATTTTTTATTTTATCACATCGACAACCAAGCTATCGTCGCGTTTAAACTTATAATTAGAAATTATAAGTCCAGGTTTCCTCACGATGTTTTTCCTTCACCGTTTGTCAGTGGTGTCTAAATAATCTTAGAAAGTACATATAACTCGGAAAAAGTCACATTGGTACTTGACATGAATGCATCAGATGTGTATTACGGTAACGACAATTTTTTTACTTTTCATTATCATTGTTTTATTTATCAAGTAAATGAATATTTGTCTTTCTTTATTGAGAACAATAAAAATCTTGAAACACAAACGATTACATTTTTCTATTTAGCTTTAGCTACGGGTTTAAAACCTACCAATGGCAAGTACCAATATAACTTTTTCCGAGTTATATTATGTATGTACTTTCTAAGATTATTTAGACACCACTAACAAACGGTGAAAGAAAACATCGTGAGTAAACCTAGACTTATAATGTCTAATTGTAAGTTTGAAATCACCAACCCGAATTGAGCAAGCGTGGTGATTAATGCTCAAACCTTCTCCATATGAGAAGAGTTGGTCAGCAGTGGCTGCTTATAGGCTGTTAATGATGGTGATGATGATTTAGCTTGTTAACGACTTACTCATCCCCTTCATCAATTGTCCAATGAATGAACGACCAACACACGTAATCAATTTAATACTACATCGCATTAAGCACAGTTTTTATAAATTCCAAGCCGTAATTTTTAACATATCCAATTACTCTCGACTTATAAAAGAAAAAGAAAAAAAAGGAAGACGAAACCTTTATCCCTATTAAACCACATTCGTACCCACCTACTTCCTAAAACCCGCCACACGGCACACACACGAACATTAAAAAAAGTCACGTTTTTGCACCCTGCGTCTTCCTACGGAAGTACCACAGTTAGAAAGAGACCACCGATTGTAACTTCACATGAGGGAGCGAGAGAGAAGTCGTGGGAACCACAGGGGTAGCGATATCCCATAGGATCATTGAAGTGGGACGGTCAATATGACCCCATGGATATATGCATGTGTCCATCGGGACTCAGGACCGCACTATAACACCTGTGCGATGTATATCACTAATTTATGCGACAAATGGCGAATCCGTTAAAATAAAAAGTTTATTACTTTTAATTACAGGTGTAAAGGGTTGGGCAATTAAAACGAGTGCAGTATACTGTTCGAAAATAATTTATTTTTTCTCTTTTCCGCAAGCGACGGCTATTTACATGATTTGTACATTATGGTGCACGGAATCATTTAATTACTGTATTGTTTTTACATCAATAGATGATGTATATCTCTTCACTAATGTTGTATTTAATACTATAATTTTTACGTTTTAAATACAATTTTATTATTTTCTGGTCGAAATATAAAATGTTTACTTATGAATTTATTGATTTCATGCACCACATTTCAGCCAATAGGCAATAAGCTATTCGATTTATATATTTCACAAGATTTGGACAATCGTTGACAACTTCACAACCTTTTTCTCATAAGATACTATTTAGATTCTATTTATTAAAAGTACGATTTTTAGAATATTGATATCAAAAATAGGAAACCTTATATCGAAATGGAACTTATTTCGATTCGACATCTTTAAAGCTCAGTTTTTGGTCCCAAAATACATCTATACATTTATATATAGTGACTGGCAATAAACTTATACAATATAATATATAACTATCACACAACTTACAAAATACTGCTTTATATAAAAATATTTTACAACATTACGTACAGTCTCCAAAAATATAATTTAGATATTTTAAACTCTGAGATCGTTACAACAAGGTCCTGCGGCTAGGAAACAAAGAAATGTAATAATTAAACTCACAGTGAGTCATTGTGAGTACACTTCATTTCTTAAAACACCATTTACAAAATGGTTTTAGAGGGAAAGAGGGAGGGAGGACGGGGTCAAAAGTATTGCAAGAAAAGGTCAAAGTACTTGAGTGGACTCTTGAAACCCCTTCAAGCACAACATTAAAGAAATTCTTACGTTCTGCGTGGTAAGTGCGAAGTGACATCGCCTTTGAAAGCAAAATGTTTCAATGAACCACTGAAATGTACTCATTCTTTGTCACCCAGCCACAAGACAATAATTCTGATAAGTATAATAATTTGTACACTCCTAATAAGCTAGTTCAGCTCCCCACGGCCTGTAGGGCTTCGAACTGTTTTGGGAATACTGGTGGTGAGGTGGATGGTGAGGGTATGGAGTAGGGTAGTGAGGAGCTGGAGGTGCAGGATGCGGACCAGGTGGTCCTGGAGGTGCAGGAGGCGCTGGGTAGTGAGGATAACTAGGAGCAGCTGCTAAGGGAGCAGCTATCGCTGACATGGCAGTAGGTGCTGCTACTGTGGTAGCCGCTGATGTCACTGGTATGTCTTGTCTTGGTCCTCCCAGGTCTGTATACCCATGTTGCGGCTGAGGTACTGGTGTTGTAGGATACTGAGGATAGCCCCAGTTTGTTGACTTTGCAGCTAATTCTCTTTGTGCTGCGAAGCACTGGAGATGGCTCATGAGACGAAGTCGTAAGGGATCTTGAATATCTAAACCCTCACAGCTGACGAGATACCGCGCCACTTCAGCTGCGCACTCCCGGAACCCGATGTTGTGGTAGTCCATGGCGTAGCGTTGGGGGTCATAAGCGAATGTATCGAGTCCTGAAACAAAGGAAAATAGAGGTTAGACACATAACTTAATGGTCACAATGTTGTATGACGCAATCGTATATTATTAATTACACTCCACGCTGTTTGCTTGAAAATTTAAATACAGAGAGTGCTCGAGGGGAAAGCGGCATGTTTCATTTAGAATAATTAACGACATTTATAAACGTTTCTACGATGTTGTAAGCTCGTATTGAAGTATTTTTCTGGTCTTTTTAACTCATCGGACGGTGCAGATGTTATTTTACATGTAAATAGGAATTAGACAATGGTGCCTTTGGATAAAGAGAATTGAGTTCTAGAAACGACCCTTCAGTCACCCCTGTGGTTGTGCAATAAGAAAGAGACGGCAGATACACATTTGGTCACGTGTGTAGGGGATGCAAAACCGTAGTATTGGTAACGGGAACCCCAAGTTTCCGGTCGTCTTCCGATAGGGACGGAGACAAATGTAAGATGAGCTCTCCGACCCTTGGGATTGTTAACAAGATGTTCGAGAAAAAAGGTGTTTCATTGATGAGTGAGAGGTCAGGGTGTGTGGTGCTGCCAGTGTGCCACCGGGCCACGAGACCGAAGGGTGAAAGAAAACTGTCTGCAAGCAATTTTTTATAATCACTTAACCAGTTTAATCTCTTTTTCATGTTTATGCATCGTCTGTGTAGCGTTTCTTTATGATTTACTTTGTTTTTTATTATTTGCTGACTGCATGTATACAGTGGTTACAGGTTTGAACAAAAATAATATTAGAGTTCGGCCTGTATTTGTAAGGATACATTTATTCTACATCTGTCTGGATTGGTAATAATGTATTGTTTTTCGGATAGTCTTTAGGAATATTTTATCAACGTAGGAGTTTAGAATGTGTTTTTTTTATAAGTACCTATATTTTTACTAGTTTCTATTGCTATTTATTTTCGTAAAAAAATATTTTGTCTATCTGTTGAATCACACTAATATTATAAAGTTTCTTTGTCTACATGTTTGTCCGTCAATCACGGTGAAACTACTGAATGTATTTTGATGAAATATGGTATACAGGCAGGATATGAGCTACTTAGGTAATAGGACTTTTATCCCGAATAAATGCTCACATGAGACAAAACAGGAATTATATTCTACGCAGACGAAGTTGCGGGTAACAACTAGTTTAAAAAAATAAATCGTATTTTTTACAAATCATGTCACATTAAAATTAAATCAACCTTTTGTGCACACATCTTTACTGAAGTATACAATTGTGTTCACTTCCTCCTTCCTAGGATCGTTTTGTTTGTATGAGCGCAGGCGCAGGTGGGACAACCCTTTGCGTTAGAATCGCTTCCGCTTGTCACGTGATACACAATGCATGCGTCACGTGACTACACGGCAAGAATGTAGATTTGGAGGTTTAGTTTTTTGTCATAGAAAGAAATGGGTGTAATTATATGTTAGAGAGATATTGGTGAATCCGGTATGAATTAACCACGTAACTTCAAAGTTTTGTATTTGATAGAAATCTTCCAAACTATCATGGGACAAAACTATAGTAAGTTTTTTGTTTTTTGAAACACTCACCAATTTTTTTAGTGATATTTTAAACACTCACTTTTTCAATGTTCTAATCTCCCATTCCCACACGAGAAATAATAGAAACCATAGCTAATTCGCCCACAATAATCACAATCCCTTAATCCCCAATCACAGTAACATAAGTTGCGATTAATTCCCCCTCGGGGTCACTATCACCATCCCTTGCCGTTCAGTGGCTAGCAGGGTGAGAGGGCGCGGGACACAGTTCCCACACACCCTGTATAAACTCGGTTACTGATTGATTGATGTTTTGTAATCTGATGTGTGGGTGTGTGAATTAATTTTATAGATTTTTGGCACGGAAATTAATCTTCGTGTAGTTTATATTTAGTTTTATTGAAGTGGTTTCATAATTATGCTTTTGTATGTTATTTTATCTAGAGGTATATTGAATCCTATTCATTATACTTATGTGTGTTATTATTTATCTATACCTTTTGGTAGGTACTCGAGTTAAATAATAAAAGTCAAAACCACACTTACTCAATGATTTACAATACGTACTTTTCTAACTCCCACAACTTTTTTTTTAAAGTATTAACTACAATAATGTACCAAATTCAAAAGTTATTTAAAAACACATTAAAATATCCATTCGTATACCACACAAAGCCCATATGGGCAGTAAGCGTTATTTGTTGACCGCCTGCGCGTACGCATCATTTACGTCACACCTGGCGCCTACAAAAACTCAGGAAGTCGCTAACAGGATTGTGCTGATCCAGTTTTTGTCTCACTCGCGCCGCGTGTGGGAAAAAGAGATGGGGCTAGTAAAGGAATATTGATACGGTTGAATAGGGTGTCAATGTTGAAATCGATAGGAATTTGATGAAGTGTGTGTCGCATTATTCGATATCGTGCGGTAACTAAAAAACCCTTTGATAACGAGTCCCGATTCCGACTATGGTACCCTTTTGACCATAAGTTATCAATTCGGAATTTCTGTTTCACGAAACCCGGAATACGATAAAAGAATATCAATAAATATTATTAACAGATTTTCCGAATTGCGCATCTGACAAGAAAAGTTCTTCAAATAAGAACAGTTACTTGTAAAAGTTTTACCACACATATTATGCCGGCTCTACACTCTCACACGAGTCAAGATGGGGTTGAGATACATTGCCGTTATTCTTAAATAGCTGTAGTCCTTCTCGCATTTTAACATTGCAATGTACCTCGTCTCGTAAGCGCTAGCGCGAGTGTGTGGCGCCGGCATTATATCTTCAGTTTGTCGTAGTACTGACCTTTCAATGGCGGACATGGTCACGAGTGAACGACAGTCAGCCCAATTGTGGCCGGAAACTACTTCAAACTGAGAAGGATGCGGTTTTTCGTACACAGAACTATACGGTGAGTGGTGAACTACTTTTGAAGTTAAATGTTAACCGCAAATTGATTGAATACCACAGATTCCGTTGAAATGGAAGGATGGGCCTATTATCTTTAATTTTTTAAATGTTTTTTTAATTCAGGCTACGGTGACTTTAGCATGTTATAAAGGACATGTGGTTGAATAGAAATCATTCCATCAATAATCTTAAACAATCATTTTAGTTCGGTCAATATTAACAATTCTACTTGAATGGATTTTAATTAACTTCCCTTGAAAAATAAGTATCAATTTCAACGAGCTTACAATGCAAACTCATTTTTTTTATCTCCACAAGATCATTTACAGGGTGTTATAAAAACTGTTGCGGGTCCACCTGCTCGCGTATGGACCCGGAAGGGACCCGTGGGAACATGTGGTTGAGACCATTTGGCGATGACAGAGATAGCGCTATTATTGTGAAACAGCTGACTTTGTTTATAAGGGACATCGTAAATTAAAATTGCATTCCTAAGCTATTGATAGAAGTAAGTTTAAAATAAATAACTAAAGATTTTGCGCATTTGATTTTTAAAAAAGTTTTGATGGATGGATTCATCAAGCGAAATATAATGACTTTTGTATGATTGGGCAACTATACTTGGCTTAAAATCGTCCAAAAACTACAGACAGAAATAAAAAGAGGATTCTAGGAAAATAATATTCATAGATTGTACCAATAAGTGCGTCAAGTCAAATACTTTTCTCAATTAGGCCAAAGATGCTCAACAAAGTCCGACACAATGAAACGAGGTCATTGCCCTCGTTAATTAAATTAAATAACAACAAACTTCGGTACATTTCTTATTAAACAGAATGTACAATATCTTGACTTTCGATGAAATATGGATCAATTAATTAGTGAGATCAAAACCCAATTAATATTGTTTTGATGGAGAACAAGAGAATGGGTAGATTCATTCAACCTTTGATTATTAATTGGTTAATAAGAGCCGTTTTTTCAATGCTCAGGTCAATTTTATCAGAGAAATATCTTTGAATAATTGACAATTCTTCCATAATAAAAACTGTAAACTGTCAATTTTATTATAAATTTTATATATTTAAGAAATAACTGATGATTGAAAATCCGACCCAAAGGGACAAGACAAATTAAAAATGACGTAATTTGAATGAGTTGTCTGTCATGCAAGTTTATCTGGTACTTATATGTAGGTGGTGAAACAGACGCTAAATATTCACTTATTACAATAAGCCCATTTTTTTTGGATAATATGTACGCAACATTATCAAGATATCTTGATCAAAAAAATTACATTGTACTTACTATTTAAGACATGCCTTCCGTTAGATGAGAACCTAACTGATATAGGATGTTCTATAGAACATCTATGTCTTGGATTTAGAATGGATTTAAGACAAATGGACAAAAAAGAGCTGACGAGAGTGAATAACACAATGTGACTCTTTTTTTAAACTCTGGTAAAAAGTGATTCAGCTTTTATTGTAATCATTTACAGTTAGGGCGCGAAACCTGTTTTATAATTTCTATTTCTACAAAAGGAACAGTTGCAGGAATCACAAAGGACAGGAAAAGCGAATCAAATGTGGCTGCTTTTGCTTTTTAACAGGTTTTTAGCGAATCACCGTTACGGTCGCATCTTTTATTAATTTGCAGGAAACGGAAACGTATTAAGCAGGTCCCTGACAATTTAATTATTGCGTACGTATAACGGAACGGGCGAAAGTTTTACTTTTTCGAATTCTATTTTTTTAATGTTGTTTTTTTATTGAGAGTAATATAATACTTTTGCATTTGTATAATTGTTTATTTCATTTTCTTTTTCTCTATACAGGCTGTAACTTTGTTTTTTTTTTGCAGACGGTTAATTAAGTTTTTCAGGAAAGAAAACGTAAACATTTATTTTGTTTATGAAACAACGAGCAGTCATTACAAGCACAGTTTGTAAACACTCAAAATGTTCATTATTGTCTCGTTTACTAGGCTTCGTTTTGTATTAAAATATTTCTTATTTTCTATCAAATTTCATTCGAATTCGAGCCGAAGAAATATTGAAATTAAATTAATCCTCCAGACAGGCCTAAAAATCTTTCCAATAGAATATTTCTATTTCAATTATTAGTGTCTATAGATCTTGTTTTTGACCTGAATTTCTTTGAAGTTTTTAGTAATGAATAAATTGTTCGAATAGACAGGCTTTGTAACTGGAATACTAAACCGATTACACCGAATTTTTGCTTATAAAATCTATTGTAAGTTGTTATTAGAATAGTATCAATCAATGAATTTCAAAACGCCATTTTTAATGCTAATAACCGTTGAAAACCGACATTTTGTCTAATGTCTGATAAGAACATAATTTTCTTTTGTATAAAAGAAGAAAGAAAGATCTCATATTCCTCTTAGTAACAAACAACATAGCATAACATAGCATCACGCCTTTTATCCCCGAAGGGGTAGGCAGAGGTGCACCTTATACCACTGTACAATGTAACACCCACAGTAACAAACAATATAATAATTATTTTAAAACTAACTAACCTTTAGCATGTAACATCTTCAAGTGGTCCACGGTAAGCTGTAAGATCTCAGCCTTCTCCAGCTTGGCACTACCCTGCTTCTCACAGGCAGCTGGTACCAGCCTCTTCAGTTCCGTCAGCGAGGTATTGATGCGATCCCGTCGCTTCTTCTCGATAACTCCTCGACGGCGCTTCCTTGTCATCAACTGACATGAGTCACCTCCTGGAGACCTGGAATTCGTGGAAATAGACTTTTAGATAAGAAGGTATAATTTGTTTTAAGTTTGAAATGTTAATAAAGAAGATGGATGGAAGTATAATGTTTATTTATTTATTAATTTTTAAGTTCTTCACAAAAAATGCAGTGATTGGTGGACTTAATGCCTTAAGGTTACACTAGTCGATATTTTTTCCATAGAAAGTTCGGGGTGGTATTACTCCACAGTGTGAATTTGTACCTCCAAAATTAAACACGACAACGTTTTATCTTGCAATTATATTTGTCGGTACGGAAACAAAAAATAAATAAAAAAAAAGATTAAAAAGTTATGAGCCACCAAAGTTTTGTTTTTCATGACAATTTTGACGCAACTTTGGGTGTTAAAAAGTACCACTAATCGTGTAAAATCTCCAAAACGTAGACCGTACCGACACAGCACAATTACCAGAGAGTTCTATAAAATTTATTTGAAATTGATCTAAGCAGTGGTTTTTTCAAAAATCGCTATTTTCTAAAGCATTAAATCGTACTTTTATACGCACTCGTTTTACGATGAATTATCGTGCATTTCATTTGATAAAATTCCCCCGGCAGCGGCGCGGGGCGGAGGGAAGACGCTCACGCGTTTTTGCACAATTTTTTGCACGACAGCGCGTGTCGTGCAAATCATTAGACTATTTGTATTATTTATCGTAAAATCGATATTGTACTAAACAATGTAAATAAATTGCAGTGTCAGTTTGTACCAAATATTAAAATACCTTCCTACATAGATTTTTTCATACTCATACTGCTATTTGCACGATAAGTAGGTAAAAAAAAACTACTTATTCCTTTGGACATAGGTACCTACGTATAACAAACAGAAAGATAGACAGAAAAAACAAATAAATAGTTTTTAAACCCATTTTTTATTTATTTATTTTTGTATTTTTCCTATTTATTTTTCCGTCTGTCTGTCTTTCTATTTGTTCAGGTCAATGTTCAATTCGGCTGGACCGAATTTGATATTTTACTAGCAGGTACACTACGTTTACGTACCTACGGTATGCTTTTTTACTTTTAGCCATCCTTCCTAATAATACCTAAGTAATAATAATATTCCACAACTATCACACAACTCTGTACCTACCCTGTCCAGTCCCAAACTAAGCAGAGCTTGTGTTATGTGTAGGTACCTACTAGACAACAGATATACATACTTAGAGGTATATTTCTAAATATTTACATATTATTATAATTAGATAAAAACACCCAGACAGAAGAAATGATCATGCTTATTATAAATCAAACTTTACCTCTTTAGGCTCTTTATAATAAATTATTGTAGATTACCGCAAGTAGGAATATTGATAATATCAACGGGCAACCGCCAAACCGAATGTTTTCGCACAGAATACCTACATAGGTACTGGGGGCTTACTCTTGAATCCAATTCCGATCGATCGACATTGGTATTGTGAAATTTCGTACTCTTGAGTTGCAATACTAGAGCCCATTGCATCCGTATTGCGTAGATATTGAATGAACTAAATGGTATTGAGTTTGTCTTTATATTCCGTACTCTGAATGCTATTGTAACAGCTAAGATTGTGGTTGTATAGTGTTGACATTTAATAATTATTGAGATCATATTGGATTGAAATTGCATTGACATTGAGATTGGTTTCAAGAGTAAGCGCCCTGAGCTGACAGAAGTCAATCTCATGTAGGTATGTACCTGCTTCACTGTTTATACCTACGTGCTCGAGCGCACTTTGGATGTAGTTATACCATAGAACTAACTAGGTACCTTTATATTTTGTGGCTATCGCGCTCCGTGAGAACTCGATTGGGGTTGTCAACTATACTTTTTATTACGTTTCTTACTTTATTTTTAGCAAGTAAACATACTTTTAGGTAATTACCTACTTTTACGAAAACTAAACAAATACAACACCTATTAGGTTTAGTAGGTACATAAAGTTATTGGTACTTAGAAAAAAAAAGTAACTGCTTACCTACAGAATTATATCCCTAGCCTTTCGTAGATTCTTCGGATATTGTGTTATCAACTTATCATAAAAAAATTTCAGTAATTACAATGCCCTGTGACAATAATTACTAAAATTCATGCGAGCATCGTAAAATCGTAGCAGCGCGTACGACTTTATTACGAGTAAACACACACAGCACAGATATATGCACCGTTCAGTGACGTTTTGCTGTGTTTGTGTGCGTGCGAACAATACGTCGTGCAAATAGATAGCGTCTAACTGCTCATCACTGGTACTATTTCTGTCGCACACGATGTTAGATGAGACAGCGCGCTTTTTGGCCACGCCCTTGATTGAGTTCGAGCCCGCGACTAGATTAACCTTAAGGCATTATTTTATGGTCCACTATAGGGTAGTGCAGAGAAATGAAGCGGCTGATACAAAGCCAGAACACGATTTTAAAACATGAAGAATGTTTTAAAATTTTTAACTTAATTGATAATATGTGAACTACACGCAAATATATTATCTAATACAATATTTTGGTATGTTCTATTGTAATATTGGGCTTTCGGCCCTAATAATACTTAATAACTATATTATTGGTAGTATTTTTTATTTTGCTTTAACAGAATTGAAATAAGGTCATTATTATATGATTTTTTATGAGTATACAATACCGTGTCCTGCATTGGTGGTCGTGATGTTCTTAAAGTGTTATTAAAGATAGACAGTTTAGCTTAATTTCCGCAAATAATCAGGAAGGCTTGTTGGTACAGACAAACAGTATTAGAGAAGTCAGTATTATATATGATAGTGACGTGTTTTACTAAATTCTTTGATAAAGTAAACTGTTAGTGGGCAATTAAATTTGACAGAAGATAAGGATGTCTTCTTGGTATGTTTGTCCGTGTCACAGTAACCTTCTAACAATATATTTGTTCAGCAAAGACAAGTAAAATTGTTATTTTTCCTGTACTTTTAGTAATATTATAGACTTCTTCGCTATCTGGAGCAAACCTTCCGAATGTTTGTGATATTAAAATGGACTGCGCATGCCTGAGTCTGACAGAATACTCCTGAATGTAGGCCAAATACAAATAATATTATTAATGTTAAAGAGAAAATATGTTATAGGATTATATTTTATTTTCAACCGACTTCATTGTGTCCGTTGACCTTCATTTGACTGACATAATTTAGAAAAAATCCTTTGTTTATTTTTTGTTTAAAACAGATAAATCGTTAACATTAGTAACTTTTATTAAACCTTTACAAAAAACTGAAATACAAACATGCTACGCGTTACGTTATACCAGAGTAATTTCGTAGCATTTGCTACGAGCGGACGTAGCGGGCTACGCAGTGTTACATGACGGAAAATTATATTAAATTAAATTATATAATTTTCCGTCATGTCATCTGATTGGAAAGTCACGTTTTATTTCACTATTTATATCATCATTGTACTACTACTTTTACTAAGAAAAAAGGCTCATATACTTACAATTAATTTTCGTAAACTTAATTAATTTGACATTAGATGCTGTTAAAATACAGAAAATTGTTCGTAATATTTACCTTGCAAAATAATATTGTATAATTTACTGGTAGGCGTTAATTGGCCTAATAATTAAAGGTACTGTTTCTTGAGCCTATCTTTGAGAACCAGATAATTTACTAAGAAATGTGTACTCACGTCGCATCTTTACTACTTTCTTCAGAGAAGGCATCGTCTTCACTCTCAGAGTGAGTTCTCTTGTTACGTTGCGCAGGCGCAGGTGGAGCTGGAGCTGGTGCTGGTGGTCCCCAGCCATAGCCCCACTGCGACTGGTTCTGCAGCTGACCAGGCTGCTCCATATGCCGGTGGTGGTACTCCATTATTCACAAAAACTTTTAAACACTTGAGTTCAACACACAATGTCACTGAATTCTTCTTGGCCTAGTTTTTCAGTTATCACTCGTCTTCATCGGAAACTTGGTTAGTTAGGTCGAGGAGTGCGATCGTGTACGTAGGTCGGTCACGTGCGCGCGCGCCGGGCGACTGGCGCGGAGTGTGTGGCCGCGTGGCGCCCCGTGTCGCCTCGTGTGCCGCCGCCCTTAGCGACCTACCCCATACACAGACCGCTTTATCTATCCCTCAATAACTATTGCTTACATTGCAAGTGATTTTGCACTTTATTCTTAACGAGATAAGAGTTTTAAAAATTGTTGTTGTAAACTTGGTAATATTTTTCTCAGCCAAGATTGTAATTGCGTTTTTATTTCGCAAATATCAGCGTTATGTCGTTGTGATAAGGAAATTTCGACTGCGTTTATGGGTCACTTAGCGATATTAAAATTTATAAAGTTGATTTTTGCTATAGCGCATACGAAAATAAAGTTTGATGTAGAGTGTATAGAGTGTATTTTAGGTTGTTGTTAGTATTTGAGGGTGTATGATATAGCCGCGTGGCAGGCGTACGGTGGGAAACTGCAGACAATTAGGTAACGCAATTTATTCGCTCCAATATTTGTGTGAATGTGTATTTCATAGGGGAAGGGTTTCGGGGTAGCTGGAGAAGCGTGGGACGATGGCACGAGGATTAACTAGTCGAGAGCATTACGAGCTCGAAGGGATTAAAACATGAAAGAAAAATATGTATGGAAATATTGCTGGAGAGGCACTCTAACGAGCTTCTTTTATTAATTACTTCTGATTGAGTGGGGCACAAAAACTAATTCTACTGAAGTATTTAATGAGTCTGATTTCAAATGAATGAAAGACATTTGTAGTTCCCTGATCATAGAAAACTCAAAAAACTAAAGACGAGAATCTAAGAACTTGCTAAGAACTTTAAAACAATTTAGTCTCAAAATGAAAACCACAGCTTTGAACACTACATCACAGAAGTCACAAAACGATTCAAAACTAATTAGAGAGAGGTTCGGTTAACTAATTGTTACGTATTTACTGACGTCATTTAGCCGTCGTCGACCGCAAGCCGCAACGACCCGGCCGGCTGCCGGACGACCGGTCACGAGACGTGCACAGGCCGTGCACGGGCCGCACGAGTCGACAACCATTGGCACACGACCGCCGGATGCATGAATTGTTGAGGTTAAATACCGCATTGACACCTTTTTGAGATAACGATATTATCTAATCATGAACTGATTGCTCTTGTGACTAAGGAGTTTTGAAACCCTATTAACTAACGAAAAAAATTATAATCGATCTCAATGCAGCTGTAGTCAAATGCCATTTAGCGCTTGTCCATATGTAGAATAGGAAACCAAATTAAAGTCCCTGTGCATTTAGCCAAACGCCACTTTAGGCTTGTCTACAGAGAGAGTAGAAATCAAAATTTATGGGGATGACACTGACAAGTGTCAAAATTTACGTCAATTCCATATAATTTGGTTTTCTACTCTACATGTAGACAAGCGCTAAATGGCATTTGGCTACAGCTGCAGAATGGATAAATTTTTGACATTGGTTGTACGGAGTTTTGACCAAAAACTTAGATATGGTGCTACGGCCGAAATGAAGGTTATTACATGATTTCTATCAAAGGTAATTTTATTTCCTTTTCCCTAAAGACCCTAAAGTATATTTTTCTTAGTTACGGAGGTAGAAAAGTCAAGGTTATACGTATCTGTGTGAAATCCCCATCAATTCTAAACTTATAACCATATTACACAGTTGAAGGTTTTGATTCTTATTTTTCTTCCTACGATTCTATTAGTAAAAACCGTTGCTTAAATGCAATTACAACCTTATTTCAATTACAATAACATTCTATTCACGACTCGAGCGAGGTGGAGTGATGACTTGAGAAAGTGCCTAGCAGTGTATTGGACGCAAGGAACTGAAGATTGAGTTCAGTGGCGTGATATGCAGTTATCAGTAGTGGACAGAAACTTTCTGATGATGATGTTGATAGGTAAATCTAATGAATAGAATGCACACAAGTCATCTACACATTATCTATGTTCTTAGAGTTAAGTAATGATGTGTTTTCACCAATACACACCCAGAACACGGAGTCACAAGTACGTATTTCCAACCTTTGGAAGGACTACATCTCATTAATACGTTTCCACGAAACACCTTTGTTTCTTTACAACCATATTATTATTATTTCTCCGCGTTATTGGTCAAACTAAATCCATTCTCGGAAGTAATCTTATGATCATTGTTGGTCATAACCCGGTGACTATCGACTTGTATACTTATATGTGCTTGTTTTATGTATTATTATTATGTACCGATATTATGGCGACCATATTACGGACATTATCATAACATTCATGTCAATACACATTAGCAGGCCTTTTCATAAACATATCTTGACTTTTGTGGATCAGAATGGTCAGTCACCCTTGCTTCGGAGAAATAGGTAATATATTTCATAAGTGTAATAAATAAAATAGCACCTGTAAGATCAAAGGGTCAGACGTGACTGGATTGAGGTAATGCTTAATAATCCGCCCTAAATACATGGGATCCTATGGTTATGAAATAAAAGCATATTTTTCGGAGTACGTGGAAATCATAATCAATTTCGTCTTGAGTATCTGTAAGATATAGGTGTGCTTATGAGGCAATATTTGTTAGTCTGTGATGTATAACATCGTATGTGCTCAGTATGTCTACGAATATGTAAAGCAATGACATGAAAATTAAAATCATATTGCGATATTTTCCTCGGCAACTGGCAATTTCACTACACTAATTAGATATTTACTGCTATAGAAATATTTTCGTACACAAGTTACATCGACGAGGCTCTTACAAGTAACAACATAAGCCTTATTGAGTACAAGCTTAAGCTTTATCCTTTTCTCAAAAAAGCGAAGATTACTGCCGTTTCCTCGAACGACAATCTTGGCTACACATTACGGTTGAAGAGGCTGATCTTTGCAAACAAGATTCATATCAAACAAGGAGTTTGTTGACGCAAAATCAGGAGAAAAGGAGATTTTGCTAATCTCCTCCTACGGGTGAGTAGCACACAATCTAATGAGATATGATCACAGGCTCAGAGCGTGGAGCCGTGAAATCATACACGTATTTCAACATACTTTAACGTTTCATACGTCTTCAATAGATTTCCAACTTAATTGTTTTGTGATGAAGGTCGGTGTTGGACTGAAGAAATTATGACAGATGGGAGGAGGTTGATATGCAGTTACACGGAGATAACTTTCCGTTGAGGTAAAACAGAATACAGTGTGTTGAGGATTTTGCAATAAAAGGACATTTTTTCTTACAGACATTTTTGTTTTAACGAAGCCTATGGGGGAATGCTGAAATGACAAGAATGAACCTTTAATTGGTTTCAGAATATTATTCTTTCGTGTTGTCTATGTAAGAAATGGCTTCGAGCGATAAACAATTATATTGTATATTTACAAGAGATAATTTTCTTTATAATTAATTAGTCTTCATTAATATTATGTTTACTTTTAACAAAAGACGATAAGGAAAACAATGTTTCTCTTATATTACAAAACATCTATATAAATAAAAATGAAGTTCCGTTCTTGCTAAAACTCGAGAACGCAACAGCTGAACTGATATGGCTAATTTTGGTCTTGTAATACTTGTGGAAGTATAGGGAAGGATTAAAAGAGGATTGAGAATAACAATTTAGACGGTACCGAAGTCTGCAGCGTCAGCATTAATACTTTTTGATCAGATTCCCAATCTAACACTTTCTTTATAGTAAAAACTGTGGAGTATTGTACAGAACTCGTAACACAGCACCACAGGACCAATTTACGTAATCTTTTTACACTTTTTATCAAACAATAGTGCCGCGAGTGTCACAAGAGCGATCAGATTCGACGTCACCCAGTCAACAAGTGGCATTGTGCTGTAATCCCTTTACAGATAATATGAAAAGGTCCTTTGTTGAACACTCTCAGTAACTCCACTGGCTGTGAAATTAGAGATCTTTAGTTCGAATGACATAAGGAATATTTCTTTAGTGGTATTGTTTTCTACTGGTAGTAAGTATTTGGTTTAGCGTTTGATCTCAAGTTTAACCAAATTTTGTTTTATGTTTAATGAAATTCTCGTGGTACTAGCATGGTATTTGGAATTGTGAACGATATTTGGGAATATTCTCATCTCCTATTGAAGGTGGTGGAGGTGAACTTAAATATCGCCTAGTACCGGAAAACTCAGTGTGTGTCTTCTGCCTATCTTTTCGTAAAATAACAGAAATTTAATGAATTAACTAAAAAAGTAACGATTTACTCACATATGTAAATATACTGAGAAAAGTTCCACTAGTTTCGCTCTGACCGCGCTCGTAACTAAAGAGGAAGAGTCCCTTTGTGACTCGAAACTAGTAGAGCTCAGTATATTTACGGATCTAACTCGTTATTTTTTTAGTAAAGCGGTCGTAAAGCTAGGGGGTATTGTAAACTCACATTATTTATTTTTAGTTAATTCTGTATGTCTCACGATAGTTATAGAAACTTAATGTTCACGCACCTAATTAAAGACCAACTTATTTCTTATACAATTATTTCTCAGTTATTACTGGTTTTAAAAAAAATCTCAGTAGTAGCACGGAGTCTGTTACTGTGCCCGGTATATGGCAATAGGCTCACCCCCTATTACATGGGACTCATAACATAAATAGTGAAAAGTGGGTGTTACATTGTACAGTGGTATAATGTGCACCTCTGCCTACCCCTTTGAGGATAAAAGGCGTGATGTTATGTTATGTTATGTTATTTCTCAGTTATTCATCTACTGTTATCTGTAAACATAATTTATAAGCCCAACATATTAGCATCGTAAACATTGAAGACATCGTCGCACCTATAACTAAGACAAGCTATCAGACAGACCATTACTTTACTTATTGCTCTGACACCGTCAT